GCTATGGAAACTGACTCTGGTGTTGTTATGGATTTCTATTGAGCCTTTTGCCTCAGGGTCTTCTTAAAACATAATATAGGAGTTGGGCATAGTGGAACACACCTGTAGTCCCAGCTAATTAGGAGGTAGAGGCAGGAGGTTTGTGAGTTTGAAACTATCCTGGAAAACATAGCTAGACACCATCTAAAAATAAAATAAATATATGTATGTGTATACACATATACAGATATGAATAAGTTTTTGCTCTAGCATGGTTTGGGTTTCTGTCTGTATTCTTTCTACCAGCTCATATGTTCATTATTGGATAAATACCAAGTCAGTGAGCACTCACAGTGTTCTTATCCCATATCCAGAAGCTTACTCTTTTCACTTCTCACTGTTGATTTAAAAATCCCTTTAGAGCCTTCTCCCTTTGATTTAAATTATATGCTGTGTGCAAGAAAACCCTGTCACCAAACTGTCTCAAATGTACACAAAATAAGAGTAACTAAGCTTTCTACTGAAGCCCAAGTATATGCTAAATATAGGAGGCTTGATAAGAGAGGAAGCCCTTGTGAATTTCAGCAAAGGGAGCGGCTACAGTGTGTCATTAGTAAGGAATTTTTTGTTTTGTTTTGTTTTTGCTTTGTTTTTATTCTAGTTCTTGTATGTATGCAGGAGGTATAAGGAGATAGGATTGTAGGATAGCAAAGATATACAGGACTCTGTCTTGGCCCTTAGTGATGTGAGCAGTTCTAAATACTTTAGGTCAGTATGGAAGGAAATCATTCATCAAATACTGGAAGAATGACATAGCAAATTAGAAAATCTACACCATTTTCTATTTAAGTATGCTAATGATTGGAACTGGGTTCTCCAATGAATGTGGAGTACTTTAAACACTTATGAGCTCCCAGTCTCAAGAGCACAGTAGGTTAGAAGTCTGAAGAGCTTCACAGAAAAGATTAGTTTTCACCTTTAATTCGAATTTATTATCTATGCCCAAGTAAGTTTTTGTGAAAATCTTTAGATTCTTAGTTTTCCCTTCCCATTTTTCTTTTTTTTTTTTTTTTTTTTTCTTTCTCTTTCTGTTTTCTTCCTATTATAAGGTAGGAGGGAGGGTGTGAAAAGTAAAATACCCAGGTTTTTTAATTTGGGGCTTAGTAAGAAAGAAAAGTAATTGAAATTACAAATACATAAAATTAACCTGAGTCCTTAAAACTAAGTGTCACCATGGAGACTAGAGCAGGAACTGTCTCCATGGAGATCTGAATGATCTTTTTTTTTTTTTTTTGCTTTAAATTATTATCACTTACTACTGAATGTCCGTTTGGCCAAGGAAAAGAAATGAATGAATGAATGAATGAATGGCATCACAAGACAATTCATTAAAGGAAAGTCTAAATTGTTCTGGTTCTTATTTTTCCATTATTCCAATGAGTGGGAAGATACCCCAGGAGAAAATTTCCTCTCAAGTTAATTTCCTCTCAGTTTCTAATGGAAACATCTGAGGATAAGGTCCCATAAATGCTACAGAAGGAGTAGTGAAGGATAATTTCTAGAAAATTCAACTCTCATTCAGAAGCTTCAGGTGTGATAATGGCTTTACCATTCTGGTTAAAAGAGAGAGCTCTTGGGCAATGTCTTATCTCAATGTCTTATTATCAGTTATATATCTGAGATGTCCCTAAACAACCATTCTGGTGTTGATGGACACTTTATGGTGTCCATCATATACAACCATTTTAAAATATATAGAGAAGTCAAGCAGATTTCTATTACATACCAGATAAAAAGAAAAAGATCCAAATGTTTAAGCTGTGTAATCAGAATTAAATCAGAATTTGCATATTGTAAACCAGTTACAGACTGCATTGTGTATATACAGATTCAGTAACTTAACTCAGAAAATGTTCAGTTGAGAAGTCACCTAAATGATGCATTTATTATAGATATCAGGTGTTCATCAATTAAACAAAAGACCACTAATAAAAGGCATTAAAATCTAATGTTTTAATATATTATAAAATAAGTTAATAGAAAGTTAACAATGATGACCCAAATGCATAAAAACAAAATGGTCAAGAACATTGATCTTCCAGAAGTTTACATACTCTGAATTTTATGCAGCTTTTTTAGCACAGATCTTGATGACTGGTTGGACATAGAAGAAAAACAAGATGTATGTTAGCAATACAGCCCAGCTGCAGAAAATGTCAGTATTTCTCACATTTTATAGTCTAGTCTCATTATTTACATGTTTTATAAAGTTGCCACCAACACTCCATTAGTGAATTTTGAACCATTTCTCCTAGAGGAAATAGTATTAGATACTTGTGAATCTCTAGTCACAATATTTTCATGGACCAATCAATACATAAACTTGCTTTATGTGCATTTCTTTTTAAAAACAACTTAATATATATTGTTGATTTATGAACTCACAGCCAATAGCAGTATATCCCATACCGGAACAAGGCATATTTACCACACATGATTTTTCTGTAAAGTTTATCACAGCCCTCTTGCACTTAGGCATTCTAGCCAAAAACCTTGGTACAATGCTTAAAGCCTTTTTTAACAACAATATCACAAACACAAACAAACAAAAACAAATAAATAAAACCATACACACAAGAGATGCAGAAAAATAGCACTAAATAGATCATGTTTACAGTATGAGAGCAGAAATAAGAATGCAAAGTATGGCTTTGTTTAACTTCAGTTGGGAACACATGTTGGGAAATTTTTTTTTTTTATTTTGGTCTTTTTTTGTTGCTCTGCACATGTTTGTAAGTGACCATGATAGTGCCTTGATTTTGAGTTACAGATTTTAGAAAGTAGATGAAACTGAACACATATACAACCTTCACTGCACTTACTATGTGCCAGACTATATGTTAAAGTGTGTGTCACACACTCTACCATATCCTAGCACTGTAATTTTACAGATGCAAAGACAGAGGCCCAGAGTGGTCATGTCACTTGCCACATCAATAGCAGCAAAGTTAGTATTCAAACTTCAAACTTAAAGCCCAAGCTTAACAATCATTATGTTATGCTAAATAAATAATACTAGTTCTCATATATTTACCACTTTACTTATGTTCCAGGCATGATGATAAATGCTTTACACAAATTATCTCATTGATAAAAGTGTGTTTCTATCTCTATGTTGCCAACATGTAGCAAAGTGCATAACATATAAGTGTTTGGTAAGTTGGATTTAAGTCTTCCTGCTCCCAAATCTTCTTTCTAAAATCACAGCATGACATTTTCAGCAGCACTGGAATTACTCTGAGTCTTCTGATACCATTCTCCCCTCACCAGGTTCTTCTCCTCTTTCACATTAATATTCTTCTGTGGCTTTGCTACTGATCTGTCTATGATGTTCACAAGGCAGCTTTTCAAAGCAATCATAGTGCAGAAGAGAGCAGAAGTACTGTCCCTTTGCAATAGTTCTTGCTCTTTAACAATAACTTCTAGTGGTCATTTATATTATGACCCAAATCCTTATGGAGTAACAGAACTGCAGAAAAGCCAAGTGTTTTGCTTGAGAGCCATGAAGCCCTATATAAACCTTAAAAAAAGGATTGTCTGTTTCCAATGTAGCTTTGGATTCCAAATCTATCTAACCTCTCACACTGAGTTCAAAGTAAAGAGAGTCTATTTCAGAGATAAGAAATAAAAGGGTAGGAGGGAGTTTGTGGGAACGTGGGAAGTAGGATTTAGAAAGCTCACAAGACAGAAACTGCAGGTTATCATATAAATCACATGAATGAATAGAGGCAAGTAGGGCTAGAGTAAAAAAATCATTCATCTCCTGTCAAAGGCAAAAGCATAAAGTCAACACGATTTATTTTTTCTTTTCATTTCTTTCTGTCCAGTTCCCAAATTATTCCAAATACTCAAGAACAATTATTGTCAACTGTATAGCCAGGAAAATTGACCACAAAGAAAGGAAGACTCCACTTCTTTCCCAGTTTTACATCTTGGTGTTGCTAGTGGTTGCTATAATATTTTATAAAAGAAGAGAATCTCTAATGAATTCTAAGCACAAACTGTAAAGAACAGGAAGCAATACAAAAGCCTTTTGGAATCAGGCAAAAACAATCTGAGTAAAGGTTCCTAGAGAGAAAAAAAGTTCCATCTTAAAGGGCAAAATGCTCAGCTCCTGTGTATTCATAGTTCCCAGGGGAATAAAAGCTTTTCTTGCTCAGCCTTTCAACTTTTCAAGAGAAAACACAACCCTGGATTTTGTCACAAATTTCCTAGCTTTAAATGTAGCCATTTTTCTTTTTCTTTAAAAAGAAAAAAAAAAATGTAGCAGAATACATGCCAAACAAACTGTGTCTATTGGTCTTACCCAGTGGGAGACTCCAGTGGGCCACCTCTGGTTAGAATAGTCAGTAAATAGCCTGGGGGATACTTTAGGACCTCATTCAAGTGCCACAACCCAAAACCACTAAGAAAAAGCAGCCAGGAAAGCTAGTCCTCTAGTGGACATCTCCCTGGAACCCTCCAGCCTGAACCTCTGGCCTTCTAATAACATCTGCCTTTTATAAGTGTTTGTCCTGGGGGGTGATTTCCAAGCCTCTGAAACCACTGGCTGCTTTCTCTGCATGGATGCTGTGAATCCTCAGATGGCCCCCGGATCAGGGCAGCAGCACAGCAGGTCCTTGCATATGCTGGGCCTGGGGTATGCCTACTCCTGGAGAGACTCGCCTCTCCTGCTGCTGCCCAATTCACTTTCACCCTGTTCATGGCTCCTTAAAAGGTCTCTGTTTCCCTTGGCCTTCTGTCTCTTCTACCCTGTTCCATTTCTTTCGTTTGCCTCACTTTTTAATTCCTCACTTTATTCTCTTTTTCCTTCTTCCTCTTCTCTTCTCCCCTTCTTTTGATGCTCTCTTCTGTTCTCACTCTCCTTTCCTCGACTGTTCCCTCTCTGTTCCTCTCCCGTTCCATCCCTACTCCACTTCTCCCTTTCCCCAGCACCCGAAAACTGCTGCTAGCTTGCTCACCAGGAATGCACCAACACAGGCTTCGAATATTTCTTGTGATGGGACCGGAGGGTCAGGGAGCCCTTGCGTTCGAACAAGTCCGTGGGTCCGACCTCAAACCAGTATTGATTTCCGTCGTACCACTCCAGGCAGGGGCTATCCCCGAGCCGCATGGCCCCTGTGAGTACAGAGGATTTCCCTCTGCACTGGTCCTGCCTGGTGCTACAAGAACCGAGATTCGGCGTCTCTCATCTCCTAAGCAACCTGGGGCGGGGTCAATGGAAGGGCGGAGTCAATGGGGGGCGGATCCCTCCCACCTAAAAGCTCTGGTTTCCCCGACAGTGTCGTTAGGGATGGGAGGCGGACTGCTTGCCAATCTGCAGTGTCACTGATCTTTCTAATCCTAAGAGTGGTAGGAGGAGGTAAGGGGCGCGATTTGCAAAGTCCCTGAGCCCTGAGTGGGTCTGTTTCCACTATCCTTGCGGAGTTCTTTTTAGCTTCGATTAACTGTAGCCACCACCCTGCTTACAAAGTTTGACCAAAGGGAGCAAGAGAACACCTTCTCCGATCCTAAATTGTGTCTACTCAGCTTGCCAACCTGTGAAAGAGGCACAGAATCATGCAAATCAGCTGAATATGTTGAGCATCAATAAGCTTGGTTCCAGTTTCAGCCTTTCTAAACTTTTCTGAGCACTAGTATGGTCCTCTGAAAAAAAAATAGAGGAGAGAATATAACCGTGGAGTAGGGTGGACACAAAAATCTGAGGTCCCTTCAGGAGGAGAGGAGGGAAGATTCCACCTCTGGGCACAATTTAGGACTTGGCATTCAGCTCCCCAAGACTTGCCAAGTTCTCCTCCTTGCAACTTTTGACTCTTTGTGAGAGCACAAATTCATCACGTTATTGTATTATGTGCCATGTGTGGGAAGGAGATTCCAGAAAAGATTATGTTCTTCAAGAAGTTATTGGATAGCTGTGTTATAGAAAGGTGTTTATTTCATTTTCTACTTCCCAAGAAAATAATATTTGACACATTCAAATTCTCCTCCCCAAACTTAACTGAGCACTTTAAGGGCATCACCAAACTTATTTATTCCTAACCACCAAAGTACTTAGAACATAGTTTGTTTTTTTTTTTCCAGAGCATTCAGCGAATGAACAAATATTAATTTTTACCACCTTAGATTTACCTCGGCTTCCACAGATTCCAGAAGCGTTTGACCTTAAGATCACAAATGCACAAATTTAAGAACTAAGAGATAATTGATATTATAATAGATTTTCTCATTTACAGAAGATTTATTACAATGTTCCTATAAATACTCATGCACCCTTCTGGATCAGACTTCACAAATTTGACTACACACAACTACTAAGTGATTTTCTGTGGCCTGTGGTGCAGAGTGTGGGCGCCTGTGGTATAAAGTCCGTCCTTCACTAACAGCCACAGTTAAACCACATTATTTAAAACCAAATAAATAGTTCACTGACACAAGCTAAGTGCTTGCAGAGTGCTGACTGCTATTTTAGCCCTGTTCTTTTTGAAGGAATGAAAAAGAAAAATAGAGTTAATTTTGAAAGTCAATAAGATCCACATCAAGTTCAATTCTGTTCAAAGCAGAGCATATTGCTTTTGCTCCAAAACTATTACCACCATTATTAGTATTTTTGTATATTTATTTTACTTATGTTTAAAGTGGTAATAATATAGGCACAAATAAGGTTAGATAGGTCTTTGCAGATGATTTGACTGAAAGTTGGAAGCTGCCCAGTGCCAAACTCTTTCTGATGTGGGGGGGAGGGGAGTACTACAGAGATTAGAAAGTTTTCAGCACATCAAGGAGCAGTAAATTAAGAAAACAAGCAAACAGACATAGCACTTATTTAGAGTTCCTTAAACCAAGCCGACAGCCATTTGAGTCTGTCTCTTTATTATTTTCTTTCTTTTCTATATCAACTTTTTAAGCTTTATTGCCTTTTGTGTCCACCAAATACTTTTTCAACATCCTTGTGCTAGAATGTAGGAGATTAATTCTGATATCCTCAAATTCAGATGCATTCCATTCTTTGTGTATACCTCAATACATTCTGTAGACTCTTTGGTTTCTTGATTCCTTATCAATAAAATAGGAATGGAACAGCAGTTATTACAAAGGGTCTTTGTGAGAATTCCATAAGATAATAAATACACCAAAAGCAGGTAGAATAATACATAATAAATGCTCAGCCCTCGATTGAATGTCATCTCCTGCTGCTATTATTAATATATCATGATTTTCCCTTTATTATTTGGATAAGGACCCCACAATGTGGTTGTAATTATATACAGTTCTCTATACTGCTTTTCAAGCTGTATCTGTTTATAAGATTTATTTAAATAAATATAACTTTTATCATTTTTTCTTTCTTTTCCCTTTTTTCCCCAGGATGTCTCACAAAACAACCAGAAAATGGAAAGTAAATTAATGCTAGTTCTGTGCTGCCACAATTGACCAAAGCAGATCAAAGGAAAGATTTTTAACATATTTTAATATGAAATGTAAGTCTGAATCAGAAAAATGTTGGCAAGATATTTGGATATGTTACTAGTGTTAATGAAGTGGTTTTGTATTCAATAGACTCTTTTCAAAACTATAGCTAAGCTTTGTGCTTTATGAATATGAAACCATTGGTCCTCAACACGAGTTATTCTTGTTTTCCTCAAACTTCATCAAACCATTGAGGTGTAGGGTTAAGCAATACCTTCCATTTACTAACCCTTTTCAGTGTAATAGAGCTCAGGTGGACAAAAGGATTTTTCTGTAGGATAAATGGGAATATGTCATGTGAGCCTATTCTAATTTTTGGCATGGAGTGTGTATGTGGTGCTGGGAATTAAACCCAGGGCCTTGTGCATGCAAGGCAAGCACTCTACCATGGAGCTATGTTCTCAACACTAAATTTCCTTGTTAGCTTTATCAGATCCCTGAAAAGCTTGCCAAGAACTGGGCAGGACAGCAAACTTAAAAAGGGAAAAAAAAAAATTGACATAAAAGGCCCCAGGGAAAAACCTCTTCACTACTTTCTTTCCATTATTGTCCTAAGGACCATATGCCCCAAACCCAGAAAAACTCTGCTGAGGACCTTCCAAAGTCACCAGCAGATGTTCTCCCCCAAAACCCCATTTTTAAAATTATTTCTCTCTGCCAGATGTCTTTCAATTAAGCTAAGACACAAAATTTTTAAATGACTTAAAATTAATTTCTATCATCTCTATGTCAAATCTTGTTTAAATACATTAAAATTTTGTATTTATATTGTATAACACTCAAAAGCTAAAAACCAAGCATTTATATCATAATCAAGGTTTACTTTTGGTTCTCTAGGAATAAGGACCTCCTGTCAACCAACCATATACTCATCCATGGGTACCCTTTTGAATGTTATATTAAAAAAATTGGAGTCCACCTGTTATATCAAAATAAGAAGTTATTATTCATTCGGATCCTTCACTATGTCACCAGACTTCTATTTTTTTCTCTCCTCCTCCTTCTTCTTTCCCTTTCCCCACTCTTCCTGTCTCTCCCATGACCTCTTTTCTTCACCTTTCCCTTTATTCTCTCTCCTCCTCTGGTCTCTCCCTGTTTTCTTCCCCACTGCTTTGAGAAGGAATATGGATTTTGGAGGCAGAATCTTGTGCTGGACACCCAATGAAATACAATACAATTCAAAGTTGCATGAAAAAAAAAACATAAAAGAAAAATAATGACCTAGAAGCCAAGGGCCAAAATTTATATGAGTAAGTCCAGGCTTACAAATTCAACTCCAGCAGGAGCTTTAATCTTCTTTCCTTTAACTATCTATAACTACTGACAGCCTTTTCTAAAACCTTGATGCAATTCCTCTGTGCTTCTAATTTGGACTGTGAACCAAACATCCACTTGCTCTCAAACCATTATCATTAACTAGTATTGATTAAGTGTCAACATGTAACAGGCATTCTTTCTGGAACTCATGAGGGAGATAAACTTATTAAATATACAGTATTCCATAATTCAACATTTTCCTTATTTCAATATCTAATCCAGACAATACGTGAAACTCTTTGGCAGAACTGTCCATAACTATTATGATAAAATTTCAGTGTCCTAGATTATTAATGACATGCTCTAACATAAATAGATTAGGGACTACTTTAATATTCTATAAATTGGATATCCTTAGCTTTTCAAAGAAGTAAATAGCCATTTTTCAGAAATGATTTGAGCCCTTGGTTTTTTCCTCTTCTCCCTAGTACTACTTTGTTTTTTGTCACCTTCCTTGTTTAGTAGCAGCAAGAATGAGATGATTTAGCTACCCATTGGCAGTTCTCATGAAAAGAGTTCAATGGGGGAATTCCTTGGGGAATAAGCTAGAAAACCTTCTGACTTTATCTGAGAAGGAAAAACCTACGGAAGGAACTGAAAGTTTCCCTGCTTTTCATGGTGGAATTTCATGTCGTCACCTAATAGCCTTAATGTAAATTTAATTCAGGAATTTTCCAAGTAACACTAATGATTTCTAGTTAAAGTTTCTCTAGTATACTCTTGATAACAAAGTACAGAATTAAACCAGTTAGAGGGATTTGGGGACTTATATGACTGGGAATTCCAGATACATCAGTCTTAAGCACATCTGAATCCCAGGGCTGACAGATGTCTTCATGCTTTCCTGGTTCTGCTTTCTTTCTTGAGTTAGCTAATTCTCAGCTAAGCCCTCCCCAAGATGGCCACTGACATGCATTGTCCCCTCACTCGCCGGTGGCATGCTGTGCTTCCCTTTCCTCTAGAACCAACGAAAAGTCCTGGATGCTAATTGGCCTGATTTGACTTTTATGATCTATTCTGAAAAAAAAATCACTAGATCCAGGAGTGATGCAGTACTTCTAGCTAGGTCTGGGTCATAGGCTCCCTTCTAGGGATGACAATCTAAACCAAAAGCATGAGATTGGACTAAAGGGAAAGATAGGATGCTATTCCAGAATAAGGGGAAAGCAAACAACAGA